GATGAAATCGGATAGGGATGAACGAGTTTAAGAGTTTTAAGAGTTTAAGAGTTTTTAAGAGTTTTAGCCAAATGCTTTATAATATAGTATAGATAAACTATCGGACCTTTAAAAATTGGTTATCTATATTCTTTTAACTTAAAAAAAGTTACATTAACCGACTAATAAAAGTACTATGGTTTATTTATTTTTAAAAAAGAATTCAAGATTTTATATTCCAAAAAATAGTTCAAAGACTAAACCATTCAAAATGAGAAAACTTGTTAGGAATTTTTTAAGACTTTTCCTTTTTGCAAAATAAGGAATTTGCCTTTTTTCACTTTTTCTCCTATAAAATTGTCGACGTTCGCAGGCATCTCACAAATAGAGGGATTTTTTTCCCTAATTAACTTGGATATCGAACCCATGTGAGCCGACTAATCCCAGAACGACCACCCATTTCACGGGTAGCCCAGAGTCACCGTATTTGAACATTCGTGGCTACAAAAGGATTTTTATTTCTCTTTGGATTCGAATATTTGACCTCCATACGCTTTTGATCTTTGAAACCCAAGCTCAAACCAATCAAACACCACCCTAATCTGATAGACCTGTGATAACCCCAATTTTTTTCACTAAATCCATTTATGGAATATGTGTAAGTGAAGAATATTCAATACAGACTTATCCCCTATTGCACTCTACTTCATGTGAGCAAAATTGTGTTTTTTGCAAACTCAACAAAATTTATAAAAGTGTTGGGGTGTTGGGGACTACATTATTGATCATTACAACCCCAAACTTCTATCTAACATCTTTCACAACAACAATATACTGTTGGTTCTATTTTCTCCCCACCAGCTTTACATTTAAACCCGTCATCGGAATTTGACCGCAACGGTGGTTCATGAACCCGAGAGGAATGGAAGGTTAGCTACAGTTATAGGAGAGAAATGTAGGTTCTGAGATGCCAAATACACTGCAATCCCCGCTGCATAACCGGCAAAAGCAAAACCGCTCACCTGAAACAAACATTTATAATCAACAATTTTTAATTTATCAACTGTATATTTATTTATATTTGATAAAGAGACATACAAGCGAGACTATTTAGGAGAATAACCTTCTGACATATTTAAAAGACTGTCCGAAGGTTATTCTACCCCATGCAAGCAAGAACATACCTTGCGGAAATACCAGAAAAAGTTGATTTTTTCCATTCCCATTAAAGCAACGCCAGCCGCAGATCCAATGACGAGCATGGACCCGCCTGTGCCGGCACAAAATGCGACCAACTGCCAGAACTCGGAGTCTTGGGGATAAGAGGAAAGGTCATACATCCCCATTGCTGCGGCAACCAGTGGAACGTTGTCTATAATTGCCGATACTACCCCTATTGCGCTTGCAACCAGCTGACTATTGGAAATATGGGAATCAAGGTAATTTGCTAATTCTCGAAGAAGCCCTGCTGCCTCCAGGCTAAGGTTTCAACATTTCCATCAAACACAAAGTCAGAAGTTTGATATTTGCTATAAAAAATCTAAAGCTTTTGGTGGTATCTTGGTTATTATTAAGCTATCTCTGTAAAAAGAATGTCATATTTTGGCCACAAAGTAAGACTAATGGACAAAAAAAGATTGAAAAGGGGGGATTATGGACAAATAAACAAATTTATGCCAAATTTTTTTACTTGGTAATACAAACCCAACAAATATTAACCTTGAGGGGTAAAGGCAAGGCCTTAGGGCTCCTTCCAATAAGTCATTGGTTCGATTCTCCTTAGGATCACTTGGGATTTTCCTAGTTGTTATATTTAGGGCCCATGGGATTAGTTGAGATGCATGCAAGCTGGGCTGGACACCCATGGTTACCAAAAAAAGCCCAACAAATATTTTCTCCACTATATCAATGCTAAGTTTCAAAAGCCAGGTGTCTTTAAGGAACTGTTTTTTTTTATTAACCTGGATATCCAATCCGCTATGCGAGCCGACTAATCCCAGGGCAACTACCTGCTTTATGGGTAGCCCGGAGTCACCGTTTGAACCTCCGTGGCCACAAGGGATTTGTATTCCTCCTTGGATTTAAACTTGGGACATCCAGGCACTTTTCACCTTTGGAGCCCAACGTTTTGGGGTAGTGGAGATGTCTACGTACATTTCAGCCCCAGATCCCACCTCCAGGTTGGATATGCTGGGCTCTTTGGTTTATCAATACTAAGTTTTGAATAGTCATTACAAGCATGCTACTACAGTTATTTTCTTATATATAGATACATTACAAGGATTACGAATAGAAAAAGACCTCCAATATGTCCAAGAGAGAGAAATAACCCATCTGAACGTAATTTTCAATGTGCCTTAAAACACAGCATTGCTCTGAAAACATATTTATGTGGTTGTATTTCCAGGCAAAACAAATATTTGTTTGGTTTACTTCCAAGGGAAACATAGCTAAGTCCAACCTCAAGTTAGAACCACGTTGTGCCTATTGGGCATGCTTCCTCGTAAAGAAAGTGACTTGACTAGTCTGCCGTTATTTATATCATGTTATCAGTAAGGCTCATTAAGGGCAAAGGCAAATATGTAGGAGAAAAGTCGGTTTTCAACCGGAAAGTAGGATTGGTGAGTCAAAAGTGACTCATGAGTAATAGTTGCCAAATAAATATTTTAGTACTTCCTCCGTCCCAAAAATAAATGTCCGCAATAAAAAAACACAGTTTTAGGAATGTATTATTAATACAGTTTTTACTTAACTTAATGACAAGTTTACCCTTATTGAATTTCTCCATCTCATCAACAATTAGACATTTGTGCGTCATAATTAAAGATGGAAATGGAAATTTAGTAAATTGTTTTGTAAGCGGACACTTATTTTCGACAAACTGAATAAAAAATATGGGCGCTTATTTTGAGATGGAGGGAATACTAGAGGGTTAAAAATGGCAAAAATTTTGTTTCCAGAAACAGGAAAAAAAAAGTGATATCAGTGCATACCTGCTGACAGATAAAAGGATCCCAAGGAAGAACAAAGCTCCTTGAGTATCAATGCGCGATAATGCTTGAGGCACCTTCAACCGTTGTCTCTCTGATTCGCCATAGTGGATAGCATCGGTCAGGATCCAAAGAACTCCAAGCCCGAATAGCATACCCAAATAAGGAGGCAAACCAGTTAAAGACTTGAACACTGGAACAAACACTAATGCCCCAATTCCCACTGCAAAAACAAGTTGCCCACGTGGAGCCATCTGTTCAGAAGCCAATACATCCTCTGCATTCTGCCCCTTGGCGTTAACTTCACTGAACAACGAAAAAGCACATGAAATAGTTTAATTAATTTGTAAATATTATAATCCAACTTATTTTCTCTTTTGGTTTTCTTTTTCCTTTCCCTTAGTTGTAATTCCTCTTTGGCTCTCTCTCTCGAGAAAATCTGAACATGTTTGACTTAACACATGATAAGTGTAAATGGTTTTTAGAACTACCATACTTGACTTTTAGTTGCAAAGAAACCACTGTTTTGTGAAACAGGAAAACTTAAACTACACTTTACAACAACGAAGGATTTTGGACAAAGAAGTGCAGAGTACGATGATCCTTTTGCATCTACACATTTCAGGAATTTTCCAAAATCACTCATTCTTGCAATCTAAAGTGCTATCTTTTAGATTTTCTACCCCTTGTTGGTCCTGAGGGACGGAGGAGGCTAGGTTAGCAGAAAGATGGTTATCGGTTCAAGCTAGAACGATGGTTAGTTTGCAACTAAAAGTCAATCATGATATTCAAAAACCCGACCACTCATTAAAATAAGTGTTTGGCCATTTGTGAAATATCTAGAATACACAATGAAGGAATCTTGTGGATCCAAATGATGGTAATGGGAAAGGGGATAACTTTAACTTGCAATCTTTCCAAAAAAGGAAATATTACAATTTTTAAGGTACTCCCTCTATCCCAAAATAAGTGTTCACTCCTATTTTAGTTTATCCCAAAATAAGTGTTCTCACTCCTATTTTAGTTTGTCCCAAAATAAGCATTCACTTTCAAGAGTAAGTGCCTACTTTCTAGTTCTACCCTCGGAGAAATTCATTACTCCCTCTATTATCAAGGGTGAAGTTGTCATTTAGTTTTTAAAAGTGTAATAGTGACACCTTTTTAAAACTTTGTGCCTTTATCATTGTGGATATTTATGGGATAGAGGAACTACTTTTAGGAACCAATTTCCTAATCACAACCGTTTTTTTTTTGTAATCCATCCACTATGTAAGTACCTCGAGAAGGACATGAGGGCCAAAGGCACTGCAAGAGAAACCACACTGGGCAAAAATAAGCTCTGCAATACCAGAAATAGCATCAATACACTCGTTTGTGTATGAAGGTCAACTAGTTATAGATTCTACAACAATAACCAGTTGACAAGAGGAAGAAACCTGCATTGTTGGCAATGTGGATATTTGGCCATGTATCCAAAGCATAGTAGTTGTTACATCACCAATTGGAGTCCATGCTCCACCAGAATTTGCTGCTATTACAACTACAGCACCAAGTAACCTGTCAATAGCTGCTTATCAGATTGCATGCAAAAAATATGCATAGACAAAGTAACCCCTCACTCATAAAAATCATTTTAGACTTCACAAGGGGATGCAATTCTTATATATTCGCTTTCTTCACCATTTAAGTTCCTTTACATAAGGTGCATGCACGTCTTCAGGGAAACAACCGCTCTACTATTTTGGGTAGTCAGGCATGCGTACAATCCCCCCCTCCCCCTCACCCCGACTAGTCCATGTGTGAAAGTAATTCTTTCTCAGTTCTGTCTTCTGTGTAAGCTGCCAATTTGCTATAAAACATCTATCACCCCCCTTCCCTCATTGTTCTTCTTTCCGTGTTTTCAGTAGCTTAAAATACAATTTCTTACACAAAGCAGGTAAAAGAATGAAAGGGAATGCACATAGAGTTTTAGCAAAAGAAGGTTTCCAAAACATGCAATTCTGTTTTATGAGAAAAAAAAAATTACAAATCATTCAGTTACAACAACATACTTTCGGTATTCTGATGGAGGTACCAGTTTCCTCAATAAGGAAACCATGACTATTGTAGATGTGAGGTTGTCAAGCACAGAGCTTAGGAAGAAAGTCACGAAACCAACCTGCAATCATCAGCAATACCATAAGATAACAGAGATGACAAATAACAAAATTGTGAAATATTTTTCCCTCCATCCACAAATCCTTCCTCTTTAATCAATCCAAGCAGGTGACCGCTTCCAATTCCCGGAAGTATAAGAATCTTGAGTGAATAGCTTTCCCTATTAGCTTAAACTATTGAGTTGAAGAGGGCAGATTACAATCTTAGCAGCAATTTATCACCATGGGTATAGAATCAGTAAATAAATGTATCCACCAGAAGACAGTGGTGAGCAGTTTTTGTTTTCTTTCTTTTTGGTTTGGATGGAGGAACCTTGACACATAAATGCATCTTTCATTGGTTACATGGAGCTTATCACTTTAATGATTGAACGACAATTATAACTGTAAAAAATCCAAAATGGATCACTAACCACCCAAAGGAGGGATCGGGGCTTGCGAGTGGTGATATTGTCAGTAACCAGCTTAAAGCCTTGATGAGCATCAATTATCTCCACTATCGTCATTGCACCAAGCAAGAAAAATACTATTTCACTGACTTCTGCTGAAGCATGTSTTAACTCTGCTACTGCTATGTCGGTTGAGGGSGCCTGCATGACAATATTGGCCGTTTTTGGATAACAAATAAGAAATTATGAAAGTGRTACAATATATATTTATGTAATAGTGAGACTTAACAAAAATAAATGCAGCTAAAAGCATAAACCAACGATGAGATGCATATTTGTATGTTCTCTACAGCCATGAGTAGGTTTATCCTTTGATATATCAACAGAAACAGACCAGCAAAAAAAAGATATATACGTATGATCCTTCCCTCCACATTGGCTGTTCCTCTTCCTCAGCATAAAGAGATACTTATAAATTTCCATAATGATAGGAGATGTCAATTCATCGAGCTTTAAAATGTATAATGGCAAAAGCAAATTTGGTTATCTGAATTCTTGGTGGGAGTTCTTGGATATCTACCACGGGTATTATGAAAATAAAGTTGAGATGTTGAGTACAATCAGCCCTGTGGGTGTTGTTGGGGGGAGGGGATGGGAGGCTAGAGGGTGAGTCTGGGGAGTGCGTAGTATGATTTATCTTGTCAGGTTCTTTACATTCTTTTATAACTCTGTTGCTTATATCATCGTGCTTTCTAGATATGTTTCCTTTAGCCTCTCTGCCTCATGGGACAGAGGTAAGGTTTGCGTATGTCCCCCACCCCCAAAAAAAATGAAAAAGAAAGAAAAGACCACTGCGAGTGGGTGGTATGTACCGGGTCTGTTTTGTTTGGTTTGATTTGGTTGCAGCCCCATGAGTGTCATGTATAAACTTTAGAAGTAAGAGCATAAACTAAAAGAAATTTATATCTGATAACACTAACAAAATTGAGAAATAAAACCCAAATTGAGGAAGTTAATGCCTTACTCCGATGCTCCGAATAACCCACAAGCTTACTGCCATTMGTAAACCTACTCCACTTTTATTGAAGGCAAGTGACTCTTCAAAAATTATGCCARCATAACCTATTCCAAACAACAACGCCATTGCAAGATCCTGCACCAGGAGGCATGACAAAACTATTTTAAGATTTACTAAATATCCCTTCATTTCAAACTCAATATCGTCTTAAACAGATGTAACAAGCTATGAGATTAGAATCACCTGGTTTGCAGCCACCCAWGAATGATTAATCGCCACTGTCCCTGTCGCAGYTGCTCCAAATATAGCCACAGCTTTCAATAAATCGGTCTTTGGCTGGTAAGTAGCTTCATATTCTTGTGAGCTTGTTTCATCCACCGAACATAAAGGATCACAAGCTCCCGACGATGTTAAATCCTAATGTCAAACAAATGTCAAAATTCATCAAAACTGCACTATTAAATTGATTTCCGGAAGGTCTTAAGCTATTGAAGAATAAACTCAAGTGGTAAATTCATTCATCTGATAGCAAAATAGACTAATTACAAACTAGAAAACCTATATCAATTCTGAATGAAGAAATGAAGACCTATTTAGCAAACCTGAAACTGGTTATCCAAATTGGGTTTGGGCTTTTGTGGTTGTTCAATCGGAGAGGGGTTTCCTCCTCCAACTCCACGTGCCTTATCTTCTGCACGTGCCAAAACTCCATTCCTGTGCAGAACTTTTGGACCCCTGGCCGTTAACAGAGACGGTGAGGGGGATAAACACACGGAGGAGCGTCTCCTGAATTGGGGATCAAGGGACTGAGAGACATGGTGAGTTCTAAATGGAAGTGGAACGGTAGACATTCAGATGGTTCCCTTAACTACAACTAAGTTGGGAGGGTATAGCGGTGGCCGACGGTGGTGGTGGCCGACGGTGGTGGTTGATGGGGAGGAGTGAGGCTTTGGAATGATCGGACAGCAAGCTTTCAGACACAAAATCTTATTGGTAGCTTCTGCATGTTAAAGGTACAATCAACAATGCATATAGTACAATCCATTCCGCAAATATTGTTTAAACAATAATTCCCTTCTAGTCCTCTAACTTATTGCTAATTGCCATTTCCACCCCAACATTTTAAAATAGTTGTCATCTATGAATGAATAGTTGGTGAAGCTATTCTCACTCACATTCCTTAATTTTATTGTTTTATGATTAATTATTGTTTTAATTATTGTAGAAAATATTAATTCTTTAAAATACTTTATCATATCTATGTTATTTAGGCAAAATGTTGATGATAGAGAATCCAACGTGTCCTAAAAACACCAATGTGAGAGAACATTTTTTGGCTCACTCAACGGCTGAGACTAACCAGGGGGCCTGGGGCGAATCTAGGACCTGTCTTGTATTTGGACAAATACACACCACCTTTTTACCAACTGATTTACATGTCAAAAACATCGTATCTACATTACGACTATCTACTATTATTATAATTGTTATCATTATTTATAATACTATATAATTATGGCTAGAATGCAATGTATCCATAGACATAGAAGTCGGTTTTGCTTGGGGATGTCAACCCCGTATTGTAATTTGAAGTAGGTATTGGGTCTTGATAGACAATTTGGTGTGGGCTCTTAGAGTCGGACATCGATCATCGATCAATATAATGTAATTCCTAGCATATTAGTGGGTCTTCATAGACATTAAGGTGTGGAGTCTTGGAGTCGGGCATTGGCCATTGATCAATATAATGTAACTTCAAGTGAATGAGCTTATTACTTCATTTGACTAGATACTGTATTTGGTTGATGTCAATGGTACGTATAAGTGATGCTTATATAACATTATCTTGTATGTTCCGTCACAACAAATGGTAAATCGGGTCTCCTCCATCATCTTTGGTTGCTTTATGCCCTTCCGTGGGTTAATTGTATAAATAACTTGATTAAAGCTACGTTTCTGTCTTAATGTTTTATAGCTTTAGACTTGGTCGTGTGAGTATTGAATTTCAGTTATATAATTGAGTATTTTTTTTTTATTTATGGGTTTTCCCCAAGAAAATTGTGGGTTTCGGAAAGATGTTGCTTTTACGGTAATTATATTTCATTTGCAAAATCATGATTTAAATTCGCAGTCTTTCGCTTTTACCGATTTATGATTATAGTGAAAACTGTTTGAATTCACTAGGCGTTAAGCCTAACATTTTTATTTGTCGGCATGTGCATCAGGTCATTGTTGGGGTATGGCATTAGTGACATCGTGATGGGATGAGTGCGAAGGATAACGTTTTAGCTTATCGTTGGTGTCTTCCGCTTTTGAAGATAGCGACAGTTATTGGGATATAGGAACACCCGACATTAACTTAGTCTTTATGTAAAGGCTTTGTCTATCTTATGTTGATGATGATTTTAGATTTGATAATTCGAGGTATTTCATGTATTGGTTATTAGAAAAAGGGATCTACCCTTTATTTGTTATATTAATAAAAAAAATTAAATTAGTCGCTCTTTCCAAATTTGAGGGTGTTACAATAATCAAACATAAATTTTTGCATATATGTCGGAATTTAAAGAAACCAGAGTTTGAAGATCTCTAGAGGAGGGTTTCTAATTTATATATTTATAATGTGTAATATAGATATTATTTTGAGTAATTTATGTTTTTCGTCCCTGTGATTTGTTATATCCTTGTGGTTTTGAAATTTTAATATTCGTCCTTATTGTTTGTAATTCATTTCTATTTTTGTTCTCGAGGTCAAACATTGCTTTTAAGTATGAAGAATTAAAATAGAAATGAATTGTAAACCATAGGGAAGAAAAAATCAATATAATTTAAATTATTATAGGAAAAAAAGTAATGAATTATAAACTAGAGAGATAAAAATCATAATTTACTCTATTATCTATAAACTATGAGGGTGAGCCTAGGAGCACCCTAGCACTTACGTAACTCCGCCATTTATGAGAAACACTTTTCGTCGATTTCGTCCAAACGATATGCACACCGTTTTTATTTTGAGCTTTGATTTTCAACTTTTACCAAATTTTAGAATTGTTATTATTTTGTTGTTGATGGAAGTTTCGATCGTAAAATTGGGTATTTCAGTCGACGCATTATCTTACGCACAAATTCAATATTGTAACCACTATTTCGAAATAAAATCCGTCAATAAACTTACAGGAACAACGGTAGCTTTTGTACTAAAATTCAATGTGAGATGAGATATGATAATGATGTGAAAAAATGACGATAATAAATGATAATGATGTGAAAGATAACAAGATGGAATACGCAACTAATTATTCATGAAGATCTTGGAAGATTCATTCGATCTTCCATTATTTTACACATAGAAATACATAGTGAAAAATATAAATATAATAGCAACAAGAAGAAGAAGAAAAATCTATCTCTTGCAGACAACACSTCGCCCATCAAAACCGCTTTGGCATCTCAAGCTTGGCAATTCCAGGTTCAAGGTGGAACCTTCTTCATTGGAGCCCTTAAACTTAGCCACAGAACAATCAGTTGCAAATAAATTTGCACTTGCGAACTTGATATCTCCTCCCATCAYAGGCATCAACACCCCCATTTTCACCTTGCTTACGTAGTCGTCCYTATAAGTCTTTCCCAAAACCCCGTCCACCTCCTTACTTAAGGAAAAGAAGTTGAATTTGAGATCAAGATGTGCAAAGCAATCGTCATTGGTTATGCCATAGTTGTGGATTCTTGATTCTTCTTTCGTTATTGGAACCACTTTGGCTGTGATCTTGAAGAGGTTTGCTACTTCAACAACAATACTATTAGTATCCTGAATCCTAGTGATTGATGTTGTGGAAGAGTTCCAGTTGGTTCCTTCGATTTCTGGGAGAAAGATGCTTTCCCCATCCAATGTAAGGGAGATATGGTCAATGGCATCATCCCAAGAGGAAGCCTTTTGAGCACTGATTTGTAGCTTGTGGTTGTCAAAAAGAACCCCAATGGATTGAATCCATGTAAAGTCTCTACCCATGTTCTTGTTCCTCTTGCCAATGAAGTGGCCATTGATATGGAGGTTGTTATCGGCAACAAGGCAAAAATCTTGATCCTTCTTG